AGGTAGCAGAAACATATGCATATTAGAGCATCCACAATGATGCTCTCTATTTCTTAGCTAAAAATATAAGAAAGCTATTTTAGGAGCTCTCTAAAAAATTTCATCTCCAACCATACTCCCTAATTTGGAGAGTCATAAATGTTATAACTCTTTTTTGATTGGTCTATCTCTATTAAAAAAATAAAATAAAAAATAGTTAGCATTAAATTAAGGTTTGAAATGCTCATTAAATAAAGCATCATTAAATTATAGGGAGTCACTAGGAGTCTTTTCTCTCTCCTCAAATTTAGGAGCTCCTAGAGGACTCCCTATTTTAGGAGGTGGATAGGGAGCATGGTTGGAGTTGCATTTTTACAATGCCTCCTTAAAATTTGTCTAAGGAGATGGTTTAGGGAGCCCATTGTGGATGCTCTTAGCATCTTTCATTGTAATTAATGTTCTGGGAGTAGATAGGCATATTTCCTCATATGACCCATGATGCTAATTTAATTTACTTTGAATAATTTTAGGAAAATGTTAGGGAGACCAACTTTAGGAGAAATTATAGAATAGTACCGTATCACCACGTTAGCTGCGATACACTTCCACTCAAAATATGCTACGTGTCAATTTTTTTTTAATAAATTTGATTTTTTTTACAAGCTGTATTTAAAATTCATTATTTACATTTAGAATAAAATTTTAGAAAGACAAAAAACCAAAAGACGCCATAACCACCTCCCTCCCACCCCAACCCAACCCAATTTCCCCACTCCCACTACTTGCCACCCCCTCCCTCTCTCTCTCTCCATAAAAATCTGCAAGATCTCTTAAACCATGGGAGCAGAAAACAAAACCAATATCATATATTCTAAGTATGTCAGGAGTATCCATCACTTAAACCCAGTTCGAAAAAAATTCTAAATCTTAAACTTGGGTTTTCATTTTCAAGCATAGCTCAAGAAAAAAAAAAGTAAACTGTAAACTGGGTTGGTGTTTTTGGTCTTAATATGTATTAGGAAGTGAGTGATGGAGGAGGAGGAGGAGAAGGAGAATCTTAATCCCTTTGGTAATATTGTGGAGAAAAATCAGCCCCAAAAAAAAGGCGTTATGACGCTCTCTGCACTTCGATCCAATGAAATAGAGATATGGTTGTTGTTTATGGAATAGAGAGATGGACGGAGGAAGAAAATGATAGGGAGGGCACGTCAGTCAAGGGAGCCAGGGTTGGGTTGGGCGGTGGTTCTTCTGTCTTTTGGATATTCTTATTTTCTCAATTTTATTTTAAAGATAAAAACATAATTAAAGTCCAGCTGTATAAAAAAAGATTTAATTATTTAAAAATAATAATAATACGTGGCATATTTTGAATGGAAGTATCACCAGCTGACGTGGTGATACGGTACCATTGTATAATTTATCCAACTCTTTAGATATCAACTTGTGTACCATCTCTCTAAGAGCACTTCCACTCATTTGTCATGACAAATGGCAAGGGCAAGGCAAAGGCTGTTACTGTTCACATAAATAGTGACAGCCCTTGTAAAAGGCTTGTGGTGTTTCCATCCATTGCCATGACAACCACTATTCACTTGAGATATGAGGAGAGGAATTTGTATAGAGTTTTGGTGTGGGAAGTAAAGAATATGACTAAGTATTTATTAAAAAAAAAATCTGAAAATTTTAAGTATTTTTATAGATTTTTTTTTTTATTATTATTATTTTAATTTTTTGTTGTTGACGTCAATAAACCCAAGCAACAACTCAGGCTATTCTTGCCTTTGGGCCAGCCCAGGCTTGTGGAGCCCACCAACAGCCCTGGCAGCGTTTGTTTGCTGGAAACCTTTTTTGGGCCCAGGGCCCCCTTGCCCGGGCAAAAGGTAGGCCGTTGGAATTGGTCTAATAGAGCATGAGACTCATTGTGTTAGTGGGCTCCGCCTCTATTAGAGAAAAATTGGCAACCAACCGAAAAAGATGGGTGGACAACCAAAAGAAGGGATAGCTATGGGTGCACCTTTGAGGATAAAATCAAGATGAGTGACATTGTTTTTTAGCGTGCTTGAACCCAAGTTGAAGTTCCTCAGTTTTACAACCCATTGACGACATCACTGCAACCTCGTGATAAGACCTGGCAAAGGATGAAAACTACTGCTGAATTGAGGAGAGAACATAATATTCCTATTCCTGTTAACAAAGATTCACTTTACAAGGTAATCTATGATATGAGGGGCTCACAGTGAGGCTGCTTATTATTGCAGTGGTACATGATTTCTCTCAATTCTGCCCCGGCAGTACTGCTATTGTTTTCTTTCTTCAGTTTTTTTTTGTGTTATCCAATGGTACTTAATTTCATGTTCTTGTGTCAACAGCCAATTGAAAGGAAGCTGAAGAAGTTCAACCCATTGGTGATTTGATTCCTAAGTCATTGCAGGCTGCCTTACCATTTGCATCAAAGCCTATAAGGATATGCCCAGTAGAGGAAGGCCACTTCTTGAAAATAGAAGAGCTGTTGTCATGGAACCTCATGAACGGAAAGTTCAAGCTCTTGTTCAACATCTTCGATTAATTAGAAATGAGAAGGTATGCACCTTAAGACAATTATTGTGTTTGAATCATCGTGCCAAGTGCATAATGGATGGTTAAATTTGTTAAAGAGCCAAATTGGGTAAGTAACACTAATGCACAGACACACTTAGAGAGACCCCACACTGGTAGAGGCACTTCAAAAATATTAATTTACCTTCCAAGATCTTGATGGTGGACTTTCTCTATGGTTACAAATTAACTTTGTTTGGCAATCGTTTGCTGGTTGGAAATGTTTGTTTGAATAGCCGCAGTAAATTTACATTAGGGGCGGATAGCTTTTGAGTTTTGACACATGGAACTTGCATAAACACCTTTGAGGCAAACCTCAGATTCTTTTGGAGTGTGACACCAATTTTAATTTATTTATATTTTTTCTGGAGAAAACTTGTAGGGCTAATGATTAATTAAATGATGATAATTTGGTAAATTCACATTTTTTTCATATTAAAAAAAATGAAAATGAAAACAAGATCAAATAATATGTCCTATTTTTATGGAATACAACTACCCATTATCTTTTTTACTTCTAAAATAAATTTATTTTTTTAAGAAAAGCCTCTTGTAGTCGTGGAAACGCATGCGAAGAGGCTAGTTTCTTATAAACAAAATTCATTTTTTATTCTTGCCTAATGGGCTAATAGCTAGAAAGATCATTAGAATGTGAGGTATCATAAAGAATTTAAATTCTCATTCCACAATAACATTGGTATAAATAAAATAATTGAAGAAATTACTCTATCCTAATTAGCAAAAGTGGTATTTTTGCCCCAAACCCTAAAATAACATATATTTGAATATTTTAAAGGTATAGCCGATCGGCTATACGTTTTAGTATATCCAGGTTTTAACGATGATAATCCTTTTCCATGTAAACAAACAAACAAAATTGCAAAATCAGAAACATACGTACATTGGACGCCATGGTAGCCACGGAAAGAGGACTCGAACTCGTCACTACGAACGTCTAGGGCACAGAGCAAGCCCGTTCCAGGTTTCGAGCAGTGTTCGAAAAATCGGCCTAGGCACTAGGCGGGAGGACACCAACGCCAGGGAGTTAGGCGGCCTGGAAGGGTCTAGGCGGCACCTAGGCGGCCTGGAAGGGTCTAGGCGGCGCCTAGGCGGCCTGGAAGGATCTAGGCGGCGCCTAGGCGGCCTGGAAGAATCAAGGGGGCACCTAGGCGGATCTAGGCGGGCTGGGAGGATCGTGTCCATAGTTATAGTCTACTTAGGCATCCATAGTTCTCCAAAAATTTACAAGCAGCAAAACAGAGAAAAGACGAGAATCATGGAGAGTTACCAATCCTTCGATCTGAACAACTCTGAGAGGGGAAGCAACCTTCTCTGTCGCTGCCACCTGAAGAAAGGATCTTGCCACCGCTGTACAATCAACAAAACAAAACCAAATTTTCACAAAGAAGAAAAACAAAAGCAATCAAATTTACAGATAAAAATACAGAAAGAGAATTGTATGAACGGGTTGCCATGTTGTAATTTCACGGAGAAAGCAATAGAAGAGAAGAGAGACAAAGCAATAGTATAAGATGGGAAGCTTTGTCTCTCTCGAGCGCGGAGGAACCTCCAGGTCATCATCATCTGGTCATTATTAAGGTAAGAGATATGTTAATTTTCCGATATCAATCACAGATATATTGCAACTAATGGTTTTGGTCACACATGACTATATAGAATGAAAAATTGAAAGAAAGAAATATGTGAATGAGATTACATGCTTTTCTCCCTTTATAATCAACAGTTGCTCAGATTCTACAAAAAAAGATGGAAGTAGATGTCTATCACAATCGGCCCGCCTAACAATCAATAAACACAAATCATATTACTTTCTGAATATTTGCCTCAAATATTAATACTAGGAATCAGGTTGTTTGGGGTTTTGAATATCAGAAAATCTAATAAAGTCAATGGATGAAGTCTTGCATTCCTATATCTAATCAATAAAGCATTTCCCCCTTTATTTTTTCAATACTCTGCGCCTATCTTTTTTTTGCTGTTAAAGTTCAGAACGCCTATCATTTACATTTTTCTAGATGCAAAGTTGCATATAGTTTTCAACTTCAATTGGCAATGATCCTCTTGTACTTAAATATGGTGGTGAAGACACAAGTTAAAAGCCTTTTGGTTTTGATTACAGTCCTTAGTATTTGATTTATTAAGTCTGTACAAGATCTTACATGAGAATAGTTTTCTACAGATGTTTAATCCAGCTCACTATGGCTTGGACAATTCTAAACCTGAGGTTCTCATCAGCCCTTACTTGTCTAGGTAATACCATGCTCAATTCTCATGTAGATTTATCTGGCCTGAGGAAGGGTTGGATGTGAGTTAACCAGACCTTCAGAGACCCCTAAAGCATGAGAAATTATGACTTACTCATTAAAGTGTTGTTAGAAGGGCCACTTTGGAATTTAGCCAATTATATTTTTGTCTGCAAGGAAAATGTGCTGCTGTTGCCCTTAAATGGTACACTAATTGTTTCTGAAAAAGGTGAAGCTTTGATTTATCTAATTATTTATTTTTAACAATTACTCTTTGACTCGGATGATTTGTTCCTTAAGAAAGTAGAGTTTTCACTTCCTAGCCTCTTCTCATATCTTTCGGGTTCTTTTCAGGGTTTATGGTTTGATGGGGATTCTTCCTTATGGATATGATGCCATGCATGAATGTTGAACTTGCTGACTCGCTAAGCAAAAGAGGAATATTCAGCGTACAGCAACTATAGTGTCTCCCCAAGGCAACTTTGCAGACCATGATTGGAAATTTTCTTGCTTCAAAATTGTATCAGGTAGAGACTTCTAAGATAGTTGACACATGGCTGACTAACCCACAGGTCAAGATTTAACATGACTGGACAACTTTTTGACTGATTTCAGTAGGCATTGCACCCATAATATTTTGTTCTTCTAGGATCTGCAGCCTTTTCCACGTATCAAAGTGTAATTAAAACTTCAGCAACAGGACAGCTGAAAGTCTCGCTTTTTAGACATTACACCGGTGAACACCAATTTCAGGCAAAACAAATCAAGAGCGTTTACCCCTCGTTTCCCTAAGGTTAAAACTTCTTTTTGTTCTAAACTAGTAATGAGAAACCAAACTGAGCTCCAGATTCTCTTTTACAGGTGAAAAACGAAGCATATGGTGGTTGGTCCTTGGGAACACCTCAACATGGGAATCATATGCTCTCATAAGAGTATCTTTGTCTGATCACTTGGTGATTCACATGGAGTTACCATCAGTTCCTAAGATTCTCCAGGTACTACATGGCTTTTTCATGCTTTGCTTGCTAACATTTGTTTTACCATGCTTTCCAGGGGATGAAATTGACTTTAATTTCAGATTGTTATCTAAGCAAATTATTGAACTGGAGTAACCAAAGCAAGATATATTATCAGTAGATACATTGGACCTTAGGGTGTATAGTTATAGATAGTTTTATAAAAGTATCAATACATTGGACCTTAAGGTGTATATCAGTAAATATACAAATTTCATGCGGCTATACTATTTAAATATATATTTCCTTCCTTACATATTTGAGTGAGATTGAGCAGTAGTTGTGAGTGGA